GAGCAAAGTGCATGCAAAGACATCTCCCCAAAGAAGATCTACAAATGGTCAATAAGCACATGAAAAGATGCTCACCTTCATTAGCCATTAGGGAAACACAAATCAAAACAAGGAGATACCACTTCCCACCAATTAGGATGTGTGAAAATTAATAAAAGGAAATCCCACTAAAGTAGAGTCCTGAGCCTAGTAAGGGGAGCCATACAGAGGCAGTACAGGGGAAATGAGAGAGACTTCATTCCTGTATAGTCACTGGTGGGAGGCAAGGGTGCGAAGTTTCCATATGCTTAGAGACAAACACATCCTTCTCAGAAAGAGAACAAAGGAGAGAGAAAAAGTTGTTAGGGAGTAACGGTTGTTTGAGCAAAAACAGAAGAAACACTCTACCCAGATATAACAATTTAAAGCCTGTCTGCACAAGTATTTCTGTTTTTCAGGTGCCCTAAAATATGTCAGCCGTTAAAGAGCGACGACCAGAAAATAACAACATTTTTCTTGTCAGCTCCCTTGTATACAAGCTATCTCTAAAAAACTCCACCTGTATTCTTTCTCTCGAGTTCAGTGTTCATTTCTATGCCATTGAGACTCAAGAATCTGGTTTTGGGGGTCCCATAATATACCAATTACAAGCAGAATTATTAATTACAGACCCCAAAAGAATAATCATCAATTACAGGCTCCAAAGGGAAAAGATGTACCTTGCATTTCCTACAAGAAATTGACCACCCCTGCAACTCAGCCAATGAGAAATCATCATTGCCCTGAACTCTTGCTCTTCTCCAATGATCTTTCTTGCAAAATAATCCCTTCTAATTTCCTCCCTCCTCTTCATAAAATAACATTCCTCTCCTTTACTGGATTTGCCTAAGGTTTTGTCATAGCTTTCATGTCCCAAATTGCAATTCTCTGTTATTCCTAAATAAACCCATTTTGCTGGTAAAATAACTGTTTTATTTTTAAGGCTTGGTTATAATAATTTTTCAAAGGAACATCACAAATGTTGGTGAGAATGTAGAAAAATCCGAACCCTTGTATGGAGCTGATGGGAATATGAAAGGGTGGAGTCCCTGTAGGAAAGTTTGCCAGTTCCTTAAAAAGCTACACAGAATTACCCTAAGCCCCAACAATTTCACTCCTAGGTGTATATCTAAAAGAATTGAAAACAGGGATTTAGACACTTGTACAGCAATATTTTCATCAGGATGATTCACAATAGTCAAACGACCCAAGTATCCAACAGATGAATGAATAAACAAAATGTGTTTTTTTGTGCCATGGCATATGATTCAGCCATTAAAAGTAATGAAGTTCTGTCTGGAGCTGAGACCAGGCCGAGAGAGCGTCAGGAACCCACACCTGTCATGCCTGCTTTGGCCTCAGCTAGCCTCTGACTTGGGTGACTCAACCTGTGACTCATTTCTGTCTCAAGGACAGCCTCAGGGCCTGCTAGCCTCCATGGATCACAGTTCAGCAAGCTCCACACACTTTCCATGCAAGCAGCATCCTTGGAATGCCGCTTCTCATCACAGCAGTGAGGGGCAGGAATCCCTTTTAAAAAAGAAACGAATGCAGTTCCAATACGTGCTATACTATGGATGAACCTTGAAGAGGAGATAGGGAAGCTAGGAGGACTCCATTTTTAGAAAGGCTCTATCTCTGCTGTTTTTCTGTTAGGCCCCATTTCCTCATGTTCTGTATTTTGCATCTGCGTAACCCAAAGAAGCTATGTTCCTACTCCAAGGGGGAAGCACAACAGTTAGTTATTCTCTGAGTTTTTCCCAGGCCCCCAAACACCTGATAACATCTAAGAAGAACCGGGTCCCAAACATGTGCCAGGACATTAGATTTAAACAAACCTCAGCCAACGCTAGCATCAATACCCTCTACCTTTGATGACCTATGAAATAACACTTATGATTCACCTGTCACTCGCCTTTGATCAGACCCTACCCTGGATTCCTGAAGGAACACGTACTCTGGACCCCTTGCCCCTAACGCCAAGCAACAATGGAGATTTGTTCTCCTTTCCTTCCCTAGTCTCCCAGACATTCTGTCTGCCATAATTGATCACTAGTCAGTAACCTCTGCTTTTACTTCCTCCAGCTCGAGTTTGATTTCTGTCCTGTGCAAAGCCAAGGACCCTCCTGGCTGGTCCTGTGGGACCTGCCACTGGGTCCTTGGACCCAACTTTCCTGCATCAAAAACACTATGGTAAGTGAAAATAAACCAGACACAAAGGGCCATATATTGTATGATTCCATTTGCACAAAATATCTAGAATAGGCAAATTCATGGAGGCAGAAAGTAAATAGGTTACCAGGACTGGGGGGGGGGGTAGGGAGTGATTGCATAATGCTTACTGAGTTTCTCTTTGGGGTGATTAAAAATTGGGGGATATATATAATGGTGTTGTTTGCACAACATTGTGAATATAATTAACACCACTGAACTGTGTGCTTACAATGGTTAAAATGGCAAATCTTATATACATTTTACTACAATTAAAAAAAAATACGTTATGAGAAAGAATTCTTTTCCCAAAGGAAAGGGGATGCTGTTAGCAGAGTGAAAGAAAAGTCATTAAATAAAACCCAAAGTAACTACTCCTCTAGGAGATAGTTCAAACTGCTTATATTAGCTTTAATGTAGCCCTCGATAGTCATTTTCACCAGAAACATGAGTATAGGGAGCTGGGGAGAAGACGAAGTCTGTAACTGGCTTAATTGCCTCTTTGCCTAGAATGACTAATTCAGTTCTTGCATTTCTTCATAGCAAGGGGGAAAGGAAAATGGAAATCTCCGAAACCCCTCGAGGTGATGTTTATTGTTGCTGCCAAGTGTATTTATTTTGTTTTAATAGCACCACCTTCTTATTAAACTCAGAATATACATATGGTCATATCTTATTTGCTTGCAGTAAATGCTCAGCTGCCCATACCAGATTCACAGGAAATTCTGTTATTTTCTCTTGGCAGATGGTCTCCTACTGAACTGTGCTAGAATCAACCACGGGGGCTCACAAAGCTCCAAACCCAAGGGAAGGCCAGCTTCCATTCTCAAGGGGGTAACTAGCTCCGTCCACATGTGTGATTGCTCCTCACTACCACAAGATGGTGCTGTCAGATCACACAGAAGCATAATGAACGCCGAGCTCCAATCCTCCGTGTACCTGCTGTTTTTCAAAGGAGAGGATGAGTCTTGGTCTCCCTTAGGGCTCAATTCCTTTCTTTCAGTTCCCATACCAGGAACTAAGATGCTCCTAAGACTGGTTCTGACACTTGCTATTCCACAGTTCCCTGGTCTTCCCATGGGATCTACATCACCCAGAGGTCTTAGAAGTCCTCACAGCATAAGAGACCTGACAATAGGGTTACTTGCGCTCCTTGTAAGGAAGCTTACCTTCAGTTATACCAGAGGGCCTGCACCTTCCTTTTAGGATGACTGGTTTCTTTCTGTGACACAGAGATGATTTGAGGACATCCCCTCAGTGAGTCAACAGAAAGGGGGATAAGACAAAACAAATTTTGCCTTTAGGGACATTCTAGTCCATTAGAAAATGCCTCGAGCATGCCTCTAGGATCTCCTGAGCTCACAAGACAAGGCAGCCCTGTTCCCTGCCGGCACGAGGGCATCTCAGAGAGGCCATGTTCTCATTGCTGAAAACATCAACAGCAGAAAACATCCACAGCAACCCAGCTGGTCTACAAACAGCTGCAGTTATTTTCATCAGGAACATTATGAACGCAGGGGAAAACTTACTTCTGCTTTATATGGTCATCTGAAGACACCAAACATCAAAGCACAGAATGTGGGGTCCTTAAGAAGGTCACAAAAGTAGGTGGGCTATCAAATGAAGTAACATCAACCAGAAAGTGCTGGGAAAAAGAAAAAAGATAATTAGCCCATACTGCTCACCAGCACCCCCCCGCAACACACACACACAGTACCTCTCAGGTACCGCTCTGCCTTCTAGGGGGTATTTTTGGCCTAGAACCTTCTCCCCCTCTCCTCCTCCTCCTTTTTCTTTGAATAAGCTTTTTCTTTTCAGAAAATTGTAGACTCACATGCAATTTAAGAAACAAGCCAGAGGGGCATACGGGTGGCTCAGCTGACCCTTGGTCTCAGCTCTGGACTTGATCTCAGGGTCGTGGAGCCTACAAAAGAGAAAGAAAAGAAAAGGAAAGGAGAGGAGAGCAAAGAAAAGAAAAAAGAAAAGAGAAAGAAAAGAGGAGGGAGGAAGGAAGGGAGAGAGAAAGAAAAGAAAAGAAAGAAAGAACAGAGACATCCCCTGTGCCCTTTATTCAGAATCCTGCAATGAGAACATCCAGCTAAACTACAGTGCAATATCACAACCCGGATATTGACATTGATACAGTCCCATACGGAACATTTCCATCACCACAAGGGTCCCTGTTGCCCCAGCTACCCCCTTCCTAAACCCTGGCAACCACTAATCTGTTCTCCATTTCTATAATTTGTTATTTCAAGAATGTCACATAAGTCATACTGCATGGTAACTCTTGAGATTGGCTTTTTTCATTCGACATACTTTTCTGGAGAGTCTCACAGGCTGTTGGGTTTTCGATCCTTTTTCTTGCTAAGTATTACGCCATGGACCTGCATTTTTTAAAACTTGGATACGTAACCAGGGTTGGAGTAGGGAAGAAGCACAGAGCAGGAGGACTCCCCGCCACCTGCAACCCCGGTCCAGGGCAGGGCCAGCGCCAGAGGTGTGGGGCGGGCACAGGTCAGGACAGCCCGGGCGGGGGCGGGGGGCGGCGCGGCGCGCCGGGAGACGGGAGGGGGGAAGGGGGAGGG